GGGGCTGGAGGACAGCGGTGGGATACCACCTGGGAGCGGGTGGCACCTCGTTTTGGCGTCTCCGTGGCACTGGGTGCTGACAACCCCGGCACACCAGTGCTTCATGCCCAGGCCCCGTGGGATGGAGGTGGCTTTGCTTGGGGATGCCACCCATCTGTCAGGGGGTGCCATCCCTGGGAACGGGGATGTGGGTGGGAGGACAGCCACCCCGGGACTCACTGGCTCCCACATGGAGTCGTCTGTTCCAGTGGCTCCTGCTGACCCTCTCCTCTCCCCGCGCAGGCTGCAGAAGGAGGTCAGGCTGGCACAGAAAGCAGACTACTCAGCACAGCGAGTGGCCAGCCCGCTGCCCTACGACAAGATCTCGGTGAGGCACCCACGTCCCTCCTTGCCAGGTCTTTGGCACTTGGGCCAGGCCTGTGCTCTGCTTCAGGGGCTTCCAACATGGTGGGGGACACCCGCCAGCTGGGCTGGGGGCTCTCCAGAGCCTGGCCTCCATGGCTGTCCTTGTTCTCTCCGCAGCCCGGGGACAAGACGCTGGCTCAGAGTGCCCAGATGTACCACTACCAGCACCAAAAGCAGCAGATGCTCTCTATGGAGAAGTAAGCAGCCCTGGGAGTAAACAGCAGACAGGGTCACGGGTCCATGCCCTGCCATTAACTGGGGTGCCCTTAATCATCCCGCTGGGCTTCACCCCCTCTCTGCATCCTCTCCCCCCAGGCATAAAGAGGAGCCCAAGCTGCCAGACTCGGCCTCGTCCGATGAGGAGAATGAAGATGGAGACTTCACCGTGTACGAGTGCCCCGGGCTGGCTCCGGTATGGTGGGCGCCGGGCAGCCAGGGGGGACCCGGTGTGTGCAGGGTGGGACCCAAGACACGCCTGGGAGGTGCAGTTCCTTGCAAGGAGCCTCCAGCACGGGGCTTTGCCCACCAGAGCTGGGGCAGCCCTTGGCAGACCCAACGTGCCATCCCAGCGGTGCCAGGGACGTGGTCACCTCGGGCTCCTGGGCACCGGGACCAAGGGGCTCGTCCTGGTGTCTCCCCAGCGCCTGGCCCAGGGACTTCTTGTCGTCCTCAAAGCCAGGGGGGACTTTCCTGGCTGACAGGGGACCCGGGGGAAGGGCAGCTCCCAACAGCCCTGGGTACAAAGAGCACCAAGAGCACCAAGAAAGGAGCCTTTCACATGGTAATGGCTGCGGAGCCCGGCCATCAGGGCCCAGACTAAGGGTCATCATTAGGTCTTTACAGGCCCATTAAAGGGCACTTGATGGCAGGCATGCAGTCTGGGCAAGGAACCCCATTCCAGCCAGCCAGGCTGGGGGTCCCATCCTGGGTCCCCAGTCTGAGCAAGGACCCCCATTCCTGCCAGCCAGGCTGGGGGTCAGGTCCTGGGGTCCACAGCCTGAGCAAGGACCCCTGTTCCTGCCAGCCAGGCTGGGGTCCCATCCTGGAGTCCCCAGCCAGGCTGTGGGGTCCCATCCCATCCAAGACCGTGGGTTTTACACATCAGCACCCCATCCCAGCACCCCTGGCTGCTCCTGGCAGGGAGGCAGTGCCTTGCTAGGGGGGACAGTGAGGTCCTGGTACGTGTCACCCCAGCCTATGAGGTTC